ATCCCTGACATTCTGTGATTCTGTGAACCCAGACGTACTTGAATATCAAGTGTTTTGCAGATTCAGTGGGCATAGTTATTACCATGTTGACTTACAGGATATGCACAGATTACTAAAAAAGTACCAGAAAGTTTGTGAGGATTATTTGGCCCAGTTATCCTCATTGCCATTTTTATATACATTTTGAAAACCATTTTGCCAAGGATTAGAATGAACAAATAGAAGAGGTTGTGGCAAAAGTTGATTAAAGATTTTGAGTTTCAGTGCTTAGGATATTTTCCTTAAAGCATGATGCCTTCTCATTTTTTTTGTGATCAAATTTTTTGTTAATGCACTTAAGGCGTGATCGTTAAATACAGGACGGCTGTGAGGTTGTGGGTGTATTTTGTGCCTTCATATGTTAGACCATTTCAGTAGCCCTTAAACTGTGAAATGGAGGCTTTTACAAGGAGTGTGTGAAATTTGACAGACCAGCATTTTCTGTCTTCACCTGTTTTACTTGACACTGAAGGCATCAAATTCCTTTGAGCATTTTGGTGGTATTTTATTCATGTTCATGTTCTCAGGTGACTGAGCAACCTAGAGTTATTCTAAGATTTTTGTACCCTTTTGTCTTGAGTGATTGGATAGTCACTGTAAAAAGGTTATGACAAGGCTTGTTTTGATGCAGGTTAGCCTAATGGCATTATATTATTTTTCTGCTCTAGTCCTTGTGTGGATGTCTGCTTGTAAGGTGGAGCATGGCTTGTGGTATCATCATCCTTTGATTATGTTGTTAGTGTTGCCAGCAGTCAGTGGAATGTACTTTTGAATGTACAGTGTGGTGGTAACTTTTGAATGTATTGGTTTTATCTATGTTGTTTATTTACTGAAAGCTTATCCCAGTAGTTTGTGAAACTTTAACTAGAATGGTTTGACTAATTTTCTTGAAAAGCTGTTTGTTTAAATGTTGTCCTATGATTATTCAAGGATTTTTTTTTTTTTTTTGAGGGGGAGTAGCTACTCTTAGGGAATAAATATTGGAAGAATATGTTGTGGTTACCACAGAGTAATCTGGTTTTTAGTTAGCATGCAGAAATGTGTTCCCTGTGTATAACATGGATAAAATTTTATATTACTGCCTGAGTCTTGGAAGTCTAGCTTTTTTCCTTTAAAAGAATATCTAGCTTCTTAATAACACTTTAAATAAAATTAGTTGTTCTTTAAAATTGAATTTCTGTCCATCAACAGTTTTGAAGCCAAACCTTTTCTCCTTCCAGTCCTGCATCACTTCATGTAAGTGATAGCTGTGGTGCATGGCTCGGTGACAGGGGGAGTTCTTTAAGAAAGGATGGTGCAACTATTCACACAAAGACAGTATTTCAGCTGTACAGCTTTGACTGCCGAGCACCACTCGAAAGAGCCATTCTGTTTAAGAGAGAAAATGTGGGAAGTTTGAAATCATTCAAGTAGGATTTGGCTGTATGATTAGAAACTGCAAGTTCAAATGAGACCAGCCAGTTCTGGTGCTCTGAAATGCAACTCATGGAGAAAGGTGAAGAGACTAAGTATTTTTAAGATGAGCTGAAGTGATGGAGAATTGTGGGATGGATAAAGCCTTTGTACAACAGTATGGGAAGGAAGAAAAAAGTAATTCTGTGGGTTGGAGCTGGATGAGATGTACAACAGCACTGTTTAATCTTTCCTTTAGAAATACCTCTTTTCAGATTAGTGTACGTACAGGGTGACATTTGGCCAAGTGCTTGAAGCACTACTGATTTTTTTTTTTTTAAGAAGAGGATGCTTAGTACTTGTTACAGTATGAGATTTGGGGAAAAAAAGCCAAACAAACCAAAACAAAGAAAATCCAACCCACAGATCACCTTTGTTTTCTATAGATAAGGGTGTTTTTACCTTCTTGAGGTATAAGGGAGGCTTTCATCTGGAATGCTAATTAAGAATCTTGAAGGGGAAAGTATCAGTTACCACTTCAAAGGATCATCTAGATTCACAAGAAACAACTTTAACCTTTGCTTTACCTAATATGTGCATTTAGCTTATCTCTCCAGTTTTCCTCTTAATTTTCTTTATAAATTGATGAGTGATTTTTCTTAGAAATAGAGGAAATTAAGACTGTTATCTTCTTTAAAATTAGGTAACTTCCCTGTTTCTTATTAAAAAATGTTTCTCCTTCGTGATTTTTAAACAAATGGGTCATTTCAGTTGATTAGTAAGTTAACTCACTAGTTGAAAAACTAGGTACAGAAGACCAGTAAGAAGAGCTTAGTTGAAAATACAAACTCTTTCTTTTTTTTTTTTTTTTTTTTTAATGCTTTGCTTCAGACAAGTAAGATAGAGAAATCTCAGTGTATTTATTCAATTTAGGCCTCGGTAGATTCCCCCCACTCTTTGAAATCTTACTATGTACTCATTTTCCCAATACAATGGATAAGACTCTGTTGTCCTTGTTGAGCTCTTAGCCAAAAGACAAGGTATTCATGGAAGATAACCACACATTTGAGAGTGACTTGGGTCATGTTAATATCCCCTGTTTTCTGTGAAAGCATTGTTGGTCTTGCAGTGTCAGGCGTTGAAGGCAAAAGACAAAATGGGAGAGTATTTTTGTTACTGAGGTAACCATGAACTGATTGTTTTAGTTTCACAAAGGAGTTTCCTAAGTTGTCTCTCATAAGAAGTTGAAACAGACTGAGCAGGAGATGAACAGTGGAATTTAGTTTCATTTCGTAGCTGTATTTTACTGTTGCTGAAAAAGAAAAATAGCTTTTCTGGAATACATTGATATTTTAAATCTTGTGTTCCAACTTTGTGGAAGTTTATGTAGGTTTCAGTCTATGTGGAAAATAAGATGAAATGGAGAGAGGATAAAAGTAACTAAACCTTTCTAAAATTCCTGAGTTAAATCAATGATCAAGTTGCTTTGAAATCACTGTACTAAAAAAAGAAGAGTGGCAAGAAGTAGCGTTTAACAGCAGGTCTGAAGCGAGTTCCATAAAGATATGATCCAAATGTGTAATCAAAGCTTTTTGGATATATACATACTCCCTTGCTGTCATTTCAGTACTTGCAGTTGCTTGATGGTGTTAGAAGAGGAGCTGCATGGTTCTAAAACAACTGCATGGTTTTGGAATCCTTTCTTACTTACAAAGAAAGACTACATCCAGCAGAAGTCTTGCAAGACATCCTGCTGTATCGGTTCTTCTAGTCTTTTCCATAAAGCTTCCTGCTTCTCTCAGTGGCGTGGTTATTATAAAGGACATGCTAGTACTGAAACTTGCTCTGAGCAAGCGTGGAGAGCGTTTGCAATGCCAACGAGTATTTCTTCAGCCCTGTTGTCAGCCATTAAGCTGCATTAATGGTAGAAAAAGAAGAATACTTGGGGGCAAGTAGTAAAGCAAACCAAATATAATATTGGAAGTTTGAGAAGGAAAAAATGTGTATGCTAATAATTGTAAAGGGGAAAACTACCAACTCAGCTGAAAAAACTGCTTCAGGTTGCACTGTTGGTTGTCATCCAACTTGAAGCAAGTTACTGGATTCTTTGTCAGAATGGGAGGTTTAAAATAGAAAATAGCTATTGATTTAGGCTGGGGAAATGTGAGCTAACTAAAGAAAAGTAGAATACTTCCTAGTTGTATTGTTTGTTTGTTTTCACTTCTAGAGTGGTGAGTCCAGGATGATCTTTCATTTTCATTATACTACATGGCCAGACTTTGGAGTTCCGGAATCCCCAGCTTCATTCCTGAACTTCCTGTTTAAAGTCAGGGAGTCTGGTTCGCTCAGTCCCGAGCATGGACCTGCAGTAGTTCACTGCAGTGCGGGCATAGGACGTTCTGGCACGTTTTCATTGGTAGACACGTGTCTTGTTCTGGTAAGTGTTTGGCCATTTTCTCTGTCACCCTTTTCCTTCTTCTGACACCCTGCCTCCCTTCCCAATACAGGCTTTTTGGTCAGAGACTTTAAAAGCATTTAAGTTAATGACATACCAGTGAAAACTTTAATTAAGACATCATACTTTTTTTTTTTTCTTCACATATTTTGATGGTTTAAAAACGCAGGTCTTGAAATACATTTACAAGTCCATCTTGAAGTACATTACACATTTTCAAAGTTTCCTGGAAAGTAAATAGTAAGCATTCTTTTCCTTTTATATAAGATATACTTAGAAAAGGCTGAGGTTTGTTTTGTTGTGGTGTTTTTTTTTTTTTTAAATATGAGCATAAAGTTAGACTTGTGAATATATATTGAGAAAACTGAAAATATCAGTCTTTTTCTCTCAACATGGAATATCTTGCAGGTCTGACAGGCCACTTTTCTTAAGGTTGCAGGAAATAGGTATCTGACCTAGGATGAGAACTTGGGTATGCCCCTGGATCTCCTGCAGTGTGTAATGGAGGACGCTGCAGAATTTCCCTAGCTGTGCAGCCCTCTGGGTGGTGTGGCTTGGTAGCCAGTTGCAGTACCACATGAATGAGTAGATTTTTTTTTTATTTTTTGCTTACTCAGTGAACTGCATCATCTGTGATTGCTCATGACTTGAGTAAGCTTTAAATGTTAAGTAATATTTAAAACATCTTTAAATTTTTGTTGGATTTTAAATTCCAGATACAGACTTTGTCTCTTTGGCTGTGCTTGGAAATAGTAAGAAGTGCAGCACATGGTTAGGTGAAATAGGATTTCATTTAAACTGTAAGACACTTGTCTTCTGGTTTGGTTATATCATCTCAACTTTCTTTTTTTCCCCCCCAATTTTTCTTTTTTCCTGCATTTTCAAAAACATAGGTGTGTATCTTGATGGTGGGGACAAGTATGTGCATTGCTTGGATTAGCAGTTCTGCTTTAAATAAGGAAACTTCTGCCACATTCAATCATTCCAAATTGCTATTCCATTCAGAAACAGTAGACAATACTGCTTTTTGGTTCTGGTTCTTATAGTCCTATTTCAAAGTACAAATACATGCCTGAATAAAATAAAGCATATCTAAATTTCTTAATTTTAAGACTTGATTTTAGGGTACTGATTAATTTGGTTATTTATTTATTTATTATTAGATTATTTGCTTTTTTCATGTTAAAAAAAATATTAATAATTTTACATGTTAATTTTGTATATAATTGAAACATAATATGAATAAATTAATTTTAGATTGAATTTTATGACTAATTTTTACTTGTAATTATTTTTTAATATATTATTTGTCTTTATTAATAGCAATGATACTTTCAATGTAACTTTTTTTACAGATGGAAAAAAAAGACCCATTTTCTGTAGATATTAAGAAGGTATTGCTGGATATGAGAAAATACCGAATGGGACTGATTCAGACTCCTGACCAACTAAGATTTTCATATATGGCTGTAATAGAAGGAGCAAAATTTATAATGGGGGATTCAACTATACAGGTAAGTGTTTAGCTCTGTGTATTTAAACATAAACAGTAGACTGCTAACAGTAGTTAAAAATGAGCTCCAAACTATTTTAAAACATGTAACTTTGTGGGATTTAAATAATTTGCTTTTTCCAGTAGTTATCTAGAAGATATTAGAGGATATTTGATCAACACCTTCTATCAGCTAAACTTTTAATCCTATGTATTTGTCCCTTCTTAGATAAAATATAAAAATAACTTGTCTGTACAAATGTTTAGGGGGGAAAAAAAAAAAAAGCTAAATTGGTATCTTCCATACTGAAAAGGAAAAGTAATGCCTAGTATCACTTTGAAAAGATAGCAAGGATCTTTGTAGGATTTCTTGATCTTTGCTCTATATTTTCCTAACAATAAAGTTGCCTTATGCTATAAATCACATTTATTAGTAAAGTTACTTCCCCCCCCATCCATTAAAATTTGTGTTATAATTAGTAGAGTATATCCAAATATCATGAGTTTCGGGGCAAACAGATTAGCAAGTCTCACTGTTGTGTCAGTGTGACTTGCAGATGTCAGAGTAGCTACAGCTGGTTAAAATGGCTGGGGCTAGGTGGGAGGGAGGACTGGGAGGAGAGGCTGCCAAACAGACTTAATTCTTCTTTCATGTGCTAGGGCTTTTTTATTTTATTGATTTCTTAAAATCACGAATGAGGCAGATAAGCTAAAACATGTTTCCTCTTTTCTTTGGTTCTGGTAGTTGTCAGGTTCTTCTCTTTGGCAAATGTTTGTTGACTTGCTAGGTAAATAAAGAAATAATTTTGCACAACTACTAATCAACACCTAGGTAGTGCACCACTAGTCTGACACCTGTGCCATAAGCTTAGAAGACTGCATGATTCATCCTAATTTAGTCTCTTTATTTTCTGGAAGCTGTTTCTGGTGGTATGAAGGTATCCTCTCTAGTAACTTTTCTGCTTTGTTTTTTTAAAAAGCCACGCTCCGAGCTGTGAGCAACTCTGGTTCCCACATTCACCCATCTAGATCGCGGGATTTTTTGTTTCTGGATACACAGGAGCATTGTCAACTCAGAACACTGCCTGTCAGGTCCAGTGTGTTATTTATTCATACTAAGAGAATGCCTAAGGCAGCACACTACCCATCTGGTCTTTCTTTCTTTCTTTTTGTTATGATTGTTGAGATGAGCTTTCTTAAACCGGTCTTTTCTGCAGTGCGGGCAGTTGTCCTGGCACTTTTCTCTTTAGGCCTCAGGGTTGTGTGCAGAAAATCAATTGACAATACTTAATATGAGTATTTCTCCTTTCAAGGTCAGCTAGATAATTTTTTACCCTCGTAGGGAACAGTTATGCTGTCCAGAGTGTGAGAGGTGTTTACTTCTCTCTGCTAGTGGTGGGGAGGGCACGAAGTCATTGAATGCTTCTCTAGTATAACATTACCAAAATGTTAATCTCTGACATCTCCATGGATTTCAGAGGTCAGTAAACTGTGCAGACAAACACAACATATACTTGAACCTTTACTTGCTCCACAGCTAGTGGTTGCAGCTGCAACACTTGTGTTGGGATGGGCAGAGGAGTCTCTTCCAGTCATTTAGCACTGGTGGGACTTCCACTTGCGACTGACAGGAAGGCTCATACACTCGCCTGGGTTGCCCTGAAGCCTTGCAGAGGCGTGTGGTTGGTGTGCCGCTGCACGGTGCTTTAGTGGAAACAATTACTTGCTTCCTAATTATACTGCAGCACTGCTTTGAATAAAATGGGTGAGGTGGAACAAGACTGAAGTTTTCATTTGTATGAAATTCCTTTGTAATAAGTTAATAGTGCTTCAGCAACATAGCAGAATAACTCACCATCACTCGTTCAGAAAAATCTGTTGAAATGAGTAGTCTCTGTAAAACGAATTTGTAGCTTTGAAAGGACGAGGAAGGCTGAATTCCTTAGATCTGTTGATGTGTTTTGCAGTTATTGCAGAAAGTTTTGCAAATATTACAGTTTTGTACTGAAACTTGGAAATCAGAAAACTGTATCTGACGTTCACCTGATTCTGATTAATGTCCCTTTCTGTTGTGTCTGTTCATTCTAAGAGGCTATACAGGCCCTACGTTTTAGCTCCCCTACACAGGCTTCTTGGTTATAATTTTGTAATTGGGTTATAATATTTCTCAAAATGAACTTCATAGCTTCTTTGCTTTTTCCTGACATAATTTCACAAGACACAGTGTAGTACTTCAGTTCCTGAGATATATTTTTGTTGTTATTTTTTTGTAAAGTTGCAGGTACTATCATAAAAAGGCAAAGGTAATTTAGCAACACAAATCTTCCTTGTCTGTCTGCTTCAAGTTGTACATTATTTTTTCCAGTCCTACCATTCATGTAGTTTTGTCATAGATATTTAAACTTAAAATTACCAGACATCTGAGCTATTGTTATTACATGTTTAAAATGGAATTCTTGGTGGGAGATTCCTTCTGTTTGACAAGAGTAGTAAAATTGTCTCTGATTTCAGTTCTTCCTGTGTGGCTTTTCACTCCAGATGGCGTCAGTATTTATCTTAGCCAGCAAGACTCTTATGGACACAACCATGTCTTCCATAAGGCCTTTTTCCATGACAGTAAGATGGAGCTGCTATATTATTGTTTGTTTAAGACAAAACAAAGAAAACCTCTGAAAGTGAAGTCTCTTGTGCAGGAAGACTCCCTTTGTGAATTTCAGATCTATACTGGAAGCTCCTCTGCAATGGAGGAGTCAGTTTAAACTATTTTTAAAGCCAGCAGTTAATTTGTAAGTAGCTGAGGGTTTTTGACATCAGTCTCTGAGTTTGATATTTAGTTTAGACTAGTGGTCTTGAATTAATTCCACAGACAGGAATCTAACACTGGTTTCGTGAAGAGTCAGTTCTTAGTTCATCTTTCTTATCTTAGACATTTAGAAGTAACTGATTTATTTTTTTTTCCCCCAAAGGTATTCTGTATCTTTACAGGCTGGCTGATTTGTGTGAGAAAAGAACTGATAGTTTTTTAGGGGCGATTCTTTTCCTTCCTGTTACCTTTCTACGTTTTTTTCTGCATGAAATTTTGTTGCAAGAAAGCCTTCAGACTATTTGTCATTAGGACAGAGATATAGCAAACCAGTTTTACTTCCTATCTTTTAGGTTTTTGTCCATCTTACTTCAGATTTCTTTGCAAAACAAGGTCATTATCTGTCTTATGATGCAGTAGATCTCTGGGCTAATGGACCACTAAGTGAAATAGTAGGCCACGACTTTGGCATAAATAACCCTAGCTTTTTTTTTCATTGGGGTTGCAAATTTCTCCAGTTCTCTCCTTTTAGGCAGTTCTCGCGCACAAGGTCCTGCTGTGTTTTGTAGCCATGATAGGTGACAGCACAGGGCAGGCATGTAGAGAGTAGAGGGAGATGGAAAGTGCTGGACAGTGCCGGACTACACAAGACAAGTTGTTTCTGCGTTGTGGAGCAACTGTGGGCATTACAGACCCTGAAGTTAGTAGCCTCATACCTTGACAGTAGCATAATTCTGGAGAAATATAAAAAGGGATCATTGTTAGAGAAGACGCATCTTCACCTAAAACCATATTTCTTCATCTAGCAGGTTGTTTTTTTTTCCCTTGACCTAGTAGTTCCTTTAATTTACTTCTGTGACTGTTCAGTTGGAAGACATCTTGGGCAAAGAGGGCCTTCAGTGTTAGGGGGCTGTTTGAAATATGTTCTTCTTGCTTGCAGAAACGGTGGAAGGAGCTCTCTAAGGAGGACCAAGCACCAAGTTCTGAGCAGTCTCCTCCACATGCAACCAAAATAACCACAGAGAAGTACAATGGGAACAGCATAGGCCTGGAGAACAAAGATCAGATGGAGAAAATAAATACTGACCTGTCTACTAAAGTTCAAGATATCACAGATGGAACCATTGAAAGGTAGGCAAAATGAGGAGACCATTTAGAAGGCAGATAATAATAATAATAATAATTCAGATAATAATTCAGCCTTCTGAGACTGTATGCTTTTCTTATCTTAAGAAATGTTCAAGATCGTTCTTCAGTAGAGGGAAAGGGCAAGTGGTATTTGACTGTCTGCTTTAATTATTTTTTAAAATACAGCTTCAGTTGTGATAAAGTTCCTTGTGATAAAGTTTTACTTGTCATGAGAAGAAAAACAAATGTCTCTAACTGAAGCAGCTCATGCTTGAAAGCCTTTTCCTACAGACTGACTGTGAGAACTCTACTGTACAGTGTGAATTAGGTCCTAGAAGTGCCCAACATAGTTCAATACTGATTCTTAAATACAATGCTAACTCATTTTTGGAAAAATACATGATACCTCAGAAACACAAAGTTTTTGTCACCTACCACTTGCTGCATGGTGATTGAAATTGTATCATTGAAGACGTATGTTACCTTCAGTTCATGTTAATAAATCTACCGCTGTTAATAGATGCCTGTGGTTGAGCTGTCAGGTGAATTTGTCTTTCTCAGCCAAGTTTCTCTGCCTTGTGCGTACTAATGCCTCAGCTGTGGGCGGCTGTATTGGGAACTGGCATCTGAATTGCTGTGCCTTGAGGCCCTGTGTCACTTGGGCCTGCCCCTGTGGGGGTAGCGTGTGGATCTGTAGCCAGAGACCCCGAAACCGGACCGGGTTGTGCCAAGCTGTGTGGTGCACAGGAGGAGGCAGGGTCTGTCCCGAAGGGCTGCAGTCTGAGACAGGGTGCAGCCGTTCTGTGTAGGTAGACTGGAATTCGGAAATAACAGAGGGCTTACTGAATGCACCCATGAGTTTATCTTCTTATGTCTTTGAGTGTTTTGAGAGAAAATGATAGTGGTTTTGTGGATGTTTGAAGGAGCCCTTCACAAGCAGGAGGAGGAGTGTGGGTGTGAGTGTGGTGTTTGTGTGCCAAGACTTTGACAATCAAAGTGGGGGTTTGCATCAGAGTTACGCTTCTCTTAGAGATTGTGAGGATGCTCTTGGAGACAATTACAAGAAGGCCCTAGTGGTGTAACGGTACACAACTGATTTAGCCTGTGTCCTTGATCAAATGTGGTGATCAAGTGGGCTGCCCCCCAACAAATAAACCTAATTCTGTCTCAGCTAAAAACCAGGACATCAGGATTTGGTTTACAGCCTAAGGTGAGCACCGTTAAATCTGCCTGCAGACGTGAGTAGGTTAGGATCAGTGTGTCAGCGAGAGGCTCAGGTGAACTCTGCAGTGGAGGCACACGCTTAAATACTATGAAGACTTGCCTGTAATACCCTATGTTGTATATAAAAGCAGCCTCCATGCATAAAAATTCAGCCACTGAATGTGGCACTGACAGGGAGGGAGGACTAAGCTCAGATAATCTAATTGTTCCCTATTGAACCCGTAGGTCGTGCACCACTTCAGTCTTCACGTAGGTCATTTACTAACTTCATAGGGCTTCACTGACCCGAAACTGTCCACGTCAAGATTGTTAAAACAGAATAAAGATTGCTTGGTTTAGATTTCATATGCTGCTGCCATATGCTGCTGGTGGGTTGGTTTACTGTTGGGAAAAGGTTTGTTTTAATAGCTTTTCTCCTGTTCTACAGTGTAATGTTTACCTTTCTTTTTTTTTTTTTTTCACCCTTAAGCGCTGTCCGAAAACGACTGCGAGAGGATAGAAAAGCTAACACAGCACAGAAGCTGCAGCAGATGAAGCAGAAGCTAAATGAGACTGAAAGAAAAAGGTGGTTATATTGGAAACCTATTCTCACTAAGATTGGGTTTGGTACACTGATTTTACTTGGCGCTTATTCTTGCTGGAAAATGTATTTTCAAGAACATTCCTTGTAAGTAAACAGTAAGCCTGTCTGCTCCAGCAGCTAATTTTGCTGAAAGTTATTGGCTAGGGGTGTGACTTTAAGCAGTAAACTCCTTACACCTGGAATGGGTACAGACCGTTACAGACAATAGAGCAGTGACGTAAACTTGATCACATGCCAACATCTCAGGACTTTCCACTGCAGGTACTTAGAAAAATGAACTGCTGCCCCCAACAAAGTTGATGGTTTTTGTTTATATGAGCAGGCACAAACTTGCTGCAACTGTTTATACACTTTTTAAAATGGTATTCTACCGGATCTTAAGCAAACCCTGCACCACAGAGGTTTAGCTACTGAAGGCTGTCTGGATTTAAATTAACATGCCTGACATAAGCAATAAACAGTGTTGTGTCATTTACATTATTAATGCAAAGAAGTTATCCTTAAGTGTGTAATGTGTAATGTACTAGTGACATGAACATAAACATTTTATATTCTTATGACCTAGGATAAATATATTTTATAATTGCATATTTAATCTTTTTGTAGTTCACTGTACTTTTAAAAGCTCAGTTTGTACAAATTTCTGACCAAAAAGAATTTGATTTTGAAACGAAATGTAATTATAATTTGTGCATGAAAATAATAGTGCAACCATTCCCCATATTTTGACTCTCAAATTTATGACACGAGCAGCTAGGGGTCTGATGAAGCACTTACCGATTTCTACTCTGTTAATTTACATTCCTTATTTATTTTTTTTGTAGTTTTCATTATTTAAGGCTTGGAAATTTGAATTTTTTTTAAAGACTTTTGAGAACTTAGCCCCCACTGAAAAGCATACTGTTGATTAACGTATTCAGACTTCAACTACTGTTTGAAGGCCAACACTGTTAAAGTTCTGACATTCCATTAAGTGTGAAACATAATATTTTGTGTGTCTGTAGATTTTAATTGCTAGAAAGAATAAAATTAATTAATCAGGAATAGGTGTAGAAAGCACGTCAAAGGAAATTATAGTTGGGTCTCCAAGGGTAGTTGTAATAGAAAACAAGCGTTGGTAGTGTTCTCCCATACCCAGCACGTTCAGCTGTGTGAGCCACTTCCACAACTTCCCAAAGTCTGGAATGGTTTTTCAGGTTCCCCAGCACTGTATTGAAGAGGCATGACTTAAAACACTTAATGACTAATATTTTTGGGAATACCTATGCCACAGTCACTTTAAAATTATTGAGCACTCCCTTTCAATTGTTTGGACAATAACACTTTTCTAAATAGTAATTCAACACAAATCACTTGCTGCCCTTTAAATTCTCTTTGAATACAGAGACTGTGGGTGGCTGTGTGTAGATTGCTGCCATCCCTGCTGAGGCCCAGTGACTTGCAGTGTTGGACTGTGCTTTGAAACCAGGATTTTATTTAGTCAAATGTTGCCTTGTTGGGTGACTTCAGAAAAGTCATGTTTTCTCTCTCCATTTTTCCAGCTTGGTTGTTTTCTGTTGAATATGGTGGTTTGGGGGGTTTTCTTCCCTCCTTCTGCTTTGGTCCTTTTATAAAGCATGGTTTGGATTTACTGTTGAAAAATATGAAAAGAGCTAGATAATTACTTTGCTCCTTATCCAAAGGAATTAACTTGAAAGGTTTCCAGTACGTTGAAGCTTAGGAGTAACATACCAGGCATGGGTCCCAAATAGTCTGACATTTACTACACAAAGCTAAGTTGAGTTTACTCTTTGAAATTCTCATTTCACAATAGCTAATACTATTTTGGACTATGCTGTTTATATAGTAAACAAATGCTTTAGGAAAACAAGTGTCGTTTCTTTTAACAAACAGTTCTGAATTTGGGAAATTGTGTGTCAGTAAATTAAGACAATTTGTCCTGTGGCATTACTGACCAACTATGCAGCTCTAATAGTAAAATGACTTTACTGATGGCCATGACACAGCATAGGCAGGCAGCTTGCATATTTTAAGACATTGCATAATTGTTACAACCACAGTAACTCTTTCAGCCAACAAGAGGCTTGTGAAAAGTTTTGGGTTTTTTTCCTTTAAAGTGGGAAGACAGGTTTTTCAGTATCAGCTGTAACTGGTAGTAGGTGTTAGATGTATGTGCCTTATAAAAGATATTTTGGTTATGGAAAAACACATGGAATGTAATTAAATGCTTTTATAAGAGAAATATTCCAGATTTTATTCAAAATACTTAAAAGCAGCTAAGGAAAAAGTGCAGGTGAAACCTTCACTGAAATCATACTGTCATTTATTGCCTTTCTGTTTGCATGAGAAGGGTTTCCTGGGCCACCAGTATCCTGCAGACACTGAGCTTTAACTGTAGCTTGTCAGGTTGTCACTTGAATTTTTTCCTGATTACATCTACCATATCCTGGCTTTTTTGTTCTCTCGATCCTGAGCAGGCATTCCTCTTTTCGGGGTGGGGAAGGCTGGGAGGGGCCATCTTACATCATCTTGCACTTGATGCAATAAAGCAGGACTTGCACATTCAACAGCTATCTGTAAACATTTGGTTTGGTTCTATGATTGTATCTGTCTTGAGAGCCTAACTCTTAATAACTCAAGGACCACGAACCAATACGAGTCTTGGACAAAACTATTTTGTACAGTGAATTGTCCATGGCAGCATGGGCGTAGGAAGGCAAATTAAACGTTAGATCCCTTAGCACATTCCAGGAGATAATCTGGGTAAAACTCTTTCTGGTCTGTCGGTAATCCTTAAAAACCAAAATCTGGGGGAGGCTTGTTTTCTGTACTGCAAAATGAGCCCGTGTGATACTTTGTTATTCTGTAGGACTTAAACTTCCAGCAGTTTTGCACCACTTGGATATTAAATAAGAACAAATACAGGCCAAAATGAAGAACTGTCAGTCCAGTGACCTCTATCATAGGCAACGCTTAAAGAAAGAGTAAAACTGAAGGACGTGCCTTCTGACCCCTCTCCTGCCTCCCCCCTCCACCCCAGTTTCTGGCAGACTGCTGGTTGGTCTTGTGCTGCTTCTGAAAATGCTGTTGCACTCGATTCAAAGTGTTGTGGTGTTGGGTTTTTCCCTCTGTTCTGGAAAGACACCAGTGACAATATCTGATGCATAGTGGACTTCCTTGAATTTGATTAATCAATGTTTGCCTCTCATATGAGCACTTCTGTACAAATCATGCACGTTTTTATAGAAGAATCACTAACCAATATTTGGACCTCTGTTGCAAGGGGTTTGCAAATCCAGAATTAGTCCTTCGGGTTTCCTGTTTATGTTCTTGGTGCAGGGACAGTCTGCTTAGAGTGACGGTACATCTGTATTTTTCTTGAAATGTATTAAGTAAAATAATTGAATTCAATGTGAAATAGCAATTTGAAAAAAAATTACAGATTTCTTTTATGGAAGTGAGATGCTGCAAGTGAAGCTTAGCTTTTTCTGTTAAACCTTGAGTAAAATGGTTTACTGGCATCAGTTTCTATCTCACTGAGAAGGGAAGAGGTGTAAATGTGTATGCATGTACGTGTGATTGGATTGCGCAGGCAATTAAAAAGCCTGGCTAGCTTTAAGTTTAATGAATGTTAACCAAATTATTTAGTTTGCTGTTTGGTGTTATAGTTGAACCTGAGACACTTGAGGACTGCACAAGAAACTAAATTAACAATGATAAGAGGAAGTCTTCTGCATGGCCAAGTGGCTTAAGTCAGGGGACGAAATTTGCAAAGTTGATGTAACACACAGTAGTCTTCCTGGGCTTTTTTGTTTCCCCCCAAAGTTTTAGGTCAGTCTTTCATTTTTTTTTTATGTACAAAAAATAAATGTGTTGAAAATTGCATCTCTGTCTGAGTCTTTATTTAAATTGGAAGGATAAATACTTGGAAGAATTTTTTAAATGTGTCTTAACTGATCAAAGAAAGCTGCTTTATAGATCAGTGTAGTGCTTGCAGAACTTAGAAGCATTTTACTGTAGTACCTTGTAAGTACCAAGGTATTTTTCTGCGTTCTTTGGAGTAGAGCTTTCCTTCCCCTAAGGACAAAACGTCCAGTGTTGGGATGTCTTCCTGACTGCAAGAAGCCTTTGCCTAGAAACACTTATCTCCATGCTGCTGTGCCAGGACTGGCCTACAAAGCCATGAGAGGTGATGTCAGTGCTTTGAGATGCAGCCTTCTGTAGTCCCACTGAGGCCCAAGAAGCCTCCTGCAGTGCTTGTGGTTAAACGCACGCGTAAGCGGTTTGCTGGGCTGAGACCTAGACCTGAGGCTCTCCAGCGAGTGTGGGCCTCGTGCTGTAACGTGGAAATACCTTCCAGAAAGGCAGTGGCTTTGCACGAGCACTTGCTACAGCCGGGCAGCAGAGGGTAGTTGCCGCAGGGAGTGCGTGAGAAGCTGTTTGGTGTTTTTAGTGAGCTGCAAACCCCCTGTCTGATTTTTCTTCTTTTCTTTTTTTCTGTACTGTGTACTGAATCGGTGACTTTCTTCTGCATTGTATGTCGCAGGCCGAGACTGACTGACACCTAAGCCTTCGAGACTTGTGAATATTCTGCAGCTATAAACTGCAAATTATTGACATGCAAAGCGAGACATGACCCCCTCTTCGGGAACAAAAAGTGAGGTCTGTTAAGTACCGAGAAGACCTCAGTTATCTGTTTACAGCATAAACTGCGTCGAGGGGATGGAGACCACCAGCAGCGTGCTACTTTGCAAAACAAAATAATTTGCCGTCTTGTGTTTTTATAATGCCTGTATCAATGTAGAAAGATGTAAAAGAAATAAATTAGGAAATATTTTGTTTTGTACTGCCATTCTTACTGTATTTTTATACTTTTTGGCAGCATTAAATATTTTTTTAAATTGACAGTATGCTGTTGTGTGCGCATTATGTTAGAGAGAAACTGTTAAGAGCCTGTTTTGCGGAAAAAAATGTTTTGCCTGAAGGTTTCCTGATACCCTGTCTTAACTGGAAAATGGCAAAATGATTATAATATGCTTTATGCAAATATTTTTATTAATGCTAAGTATTGTAGTTTGAGCTAGGAGGAACTCTTGCACATTTCTTCTGTAATACACCACTAAGAATATTATTTTGTTAATCTGACCAGTTGGTTTGGTTAATCCTTCTGACGTTTGCTATAAAATATGCACAAAATGTTCAGCGTCACGTTGTGAAGGGAAAGTGTTTTGTTGGCGATGCTGTCATGGGAGGAAAAATGGGAAACCTGACCTCTTGCTACCCACAGCCGTACACAGTGGGTGTTAAGGGTCAGGTGCAAAGCACACAAAGTCAACGGTGTCTTTAATTAAACGGGGTTTGGATTGTGCCATCACTGTGTGTTGTATGAATAATACTTTACTTCACATCTCCCGTCGGTGTGCTCCCTGACACAGTCTGAACAGCTGGATTGGAAAGGGGTACATTGGAATGCTGGTTAAAGGAGTTCTTCCGATGGCCTCAGCAAGGCTTCCAGCCTGGTACCTTCTGTAACAGGGCTGATCGAAATTCTGCACTCACTGACGTTCGCTGACAGTTTCGGAGAAACCTTAATTCACCAAAAAACTATATTTAATACGATTGTCTAAACTAGGATGTGGAGGGCTTTATATGTAATTTGTACTTTGCATATTTTTATTACAACGGGTTTTTGTACAAATCATACAGTTGCTGAAAGTAAAGCATGGAAGAGGAGGGAAACCTAGGCCAACTACGGCTATTTTTGCTAAAATAAGCAGCAACCTGAAATCTTAACAGAACTTGGTTTTGAGGCTCATTCATGAAAGCAACTATGTTCAGAGTTGTCTTTAACTTGAAGGTGAAGCTGAATCAGGGAGTACTTAATGCCATTACTTGAGCTAAATATATGCTTGACACCATCTTGAGATAGTCTAAATCACCAGAGTCTGGTTTGTCTAAATATTTTAATTTCTTTAGAT